TGTTTGGGACTAACATTTGCTCAAGCAGTGGCCCACTGGTCCAATTTACTTCCTTCTTCATTTGACAGACTTCAGGTATTACCAGTCCTCAGTCCCATTCTGCCCCCTACATCCTCAGTGTCAGGGTTTCCTCGCTGATTTTCATAGAAGTATTGTGCTCCCATGCCTGATTTCAGGGTGTATGCTGGACCTTTCACATGGCAGCCCTCAAATTTTTTTGAAATATATTGATAGCTAATTGAGGCTTAAGGAAAAAAATGCTCCTAGCTCTAATGAGAATTCAAGAGGGTATGAGATGACCGAATCACCTTGGTCTAGATAATTCCAGCAGCTGAACTTTTACTTGTTCTGTTTATATTAATGCCTAGTGTTTGTATTCATTTTTATGCTGACATTGAAATATCACATTTGCATTGAGAAATTACATCATTTATAAGCATTTTGCAAATTGAAACCAATGTCTGGATTTACATATACTACCAATACAGCTGTAAGTCATACATGAAGCTATATGAGTTACTAATTTGTGTTTACTGAATATATTTCTTCTTTCCTCTGAATCTGATTTTAAATCTGCTAGAAAGATTGATTATCCTTCTGATAAAAATATACACCTTTCCTTTAAAAGTCTTGGGACCCAGGGATTAAAACAGGTTCCTCATTTTTTATGTTTCACATGGGAAAGATTTTGAAGAACCAGACTTTATAACCGAAATGTGAGAGTCCAGAAGACATATCACATATTGCTCATTCTGCTATTAATGTCTGTACTTAGTGTTTGATCAGGATACTAGTAAAGGCCCTCACCATCTCTGTTCAGACATGTGGCTGCAAAGATTAAAAAAAAAAAAAAAACAAATAAACAAACAGGAAAACAAGCTACAGAACTGGCCGTGCAGTTCACAAGAGGTGACCTTTGATTTCTGGTAGTAGAATTTACTTGCTATACATGGAACTTCTTCTGTCAACACCACTGGCACATTGTTTCTCTTCACTTTTTCCATGCCTACAGACAAGTAATCTAGTAGTCTAGTTCATCTGGCTCTGATGTCCAACCTATCCCGAAGCAAACACCAAAAGCAAACTGACACTGTTACAAACCCTAAGACCAGAATACAGATTGTGCTGTCCTCAGAAGATGATGTTGCAGGTTATGGGCTGAATATTTGTGACCCCCCAAAATTCCTATGTTTAATCCCTAACCCCCAAAGTGATGGTATTTGGAGATGGAGCCCTTGCTAAGTAATTAGGATGAGATGAGCTCATGAGGGTGAGGACTTCATGGTGGGATTGTTGCAGGACTTTTCCTTAGTTCAGCTAAAGATGAGGTCCTTGTCCATCCCACAGCCATGAAAATTTAGGTCACAGGCTGTTTGGAGGGTGAGTAAAACAGGGTTTTATTGGGTGAAAAGGAAGAAAAGGGAGAAACAGGGACTCTCACTAGGCTGGAGTCCCTGCTAGAGCACTTCCCACCGGCAGCTTGAATCTCAGGTTCCACACAGGAAGAGGAGAGACTAGGCTCCTTCCCCACTGCAAACATGGTGAACTTCCCGAGGCTTTACCTCTGTCAGCAGGCTAGTTGGAGTTTCTCCAAGGACCCCCTCCTACCTGACTGTCTCAGGATTAGCCAAGACAAGATGCATAAGAATGAAATCTACCTTGTTGGCATCTTGATCTTGGACTTTGCAACCTCCAGAACTGTGAGACATAAATCTCTACTGTTTAAACCACCACTCTCTAGTGTTTTGTTATGGCAGCCCAAGTCAACTAATATAATGTATATGCTTGTGCTTTGCTTTCCAAGACCCGTATGCTTCAAACACAGCCAACAAAATGTAGCCTGCTATTGGGTTTGGGTGACCATATTAGTTCCTATGGCTGCCATAACAAATTACCACAGTTGTGGTAGTTTAAAACAGCAGAAATTTATTCTCACAATTGCAGAGCCAGAATTCCAAAATCAAAGTGCCAGCGGGCCATACTCCCCTTAAGGCTCTAGGGAAGAATTTTTCTTTGCTTCTTTCAGCTTCCGTTGGCCACAGTGACTCCTTGGCTTGCATCTGCATAACTCTGATCTGTCTCCATCTTTACATTCCTTTTCCTCTACTCCAGGATGATCTCATCTCATGTTCTTTAACTTAATTACAACTGCAAAGACACTTTCTCCAAATGAGATCACATTCACAGGTTCTAGGGGTTAGGACATAGATGTATCTTATTGGGGATCACCAATCAACCCACTACAGATGACTGTATAGTCTCGAAAAAAAGGGTGATAAATTATATTTAGAAACAAAACTGACAAAAGAAAATTCAAAAATGATTTATGTGGGTTTCAGGTTTATCACTCCATACTTTGTCTTCATAAAGATTTAAGCCAATGGAATTTCCATATGGTTGGAAAGAAAATAACTTCAAAGCTGCTGAACTGGAAACTTAATATTTTATTTTCCACTTAGTGACAGGCTAAATTACAAAGGCTGCTAAGCATATTGTGTTTACATGCAGTTCCCACTTTGCTGCAATTCAACTTTGGCAACTTCCACTTACAGTGTTCAGCCAATTAAACCTCTCTTATCAACTTAGAGTATTTACAGCAGGAAAGCAACACACAATTAAAGTTCTATCAGTTTAATCAGTTTCCACATGTGCTCAAACACTCAGCCTCAATCTGGTTCCACAATTCCTTTTGTATCTGAGGCCTTTTCCTGTGGCTTACCAGTCTGTCCCCAAAGCAAGGAAACTGGGGGAAGAGTTATTGGTCTGCTGGCATAAATGGCAAAGGAGGAAGAAATTGTGGAGCCAGGCAAAGCAAAACAAAGAATCATCACAAGAGTATTTCACAATGATTATCAATAGTGCTGTATTAGTATTTGTTGAGTTAAATTATTCCATTTGATAGTCACTATAAAAAAGGAAGGTATGGAGAAATTACTAGCCTTATCTTACAGGTAATTGAACTGATGTTAAAAAAAAGAAAGTTAACTACCCTTCCACGAACATATAGTTTATTAAGTGGCACATCAAAATATGTGAGATATTTTGAAAAAATATCTATGCAGGCATTTTCTAAAGGAGGTAGATTTCTAAAATAATTTAAGCAATTTAAATAAGCTTATAACCACCAAAAGGAACTAACCTAAACATTACACTGATTTAGTTGAAATTTACTAAAAATAAGTTGTTTCTTACAAGAAAAATATAGTCAACCTTTGAATACCCTTTAAAATGGAATGCTCCATTATAAAGTAACAATGGCAAGCATCTACCTAAATATATTTGGCAAGTAAGTGCTTGAGATGGAAGAAAACCAATTTTGTGAGTTGAAAATCAAATGTAACATAGTTTGTATGTAAGACTAACATCAACTTAGTCCAAAGAACTTGAGATATTGTCATCTTGAAAAGCCGAAAGTGATGAGAAATCAAAGGAAGAGAGAAATCTGGGCAAATTTTTTTGGTTCATCCATGTTGGCTACAGTCAGGCAACCCAATGCCATTAAGCACAAGGTAATTTGCCACCATGGATCTTCTATTTAAAAGCATCAGAAGACCCAATAACTTGATTAATAAAGCATGTGCTTTGCAAAGAACACTTGAATAAAGACACAAAGGGCATGAAAGAGATATCCCTATTCAATACTAGAACATGGTCCAGTGTCTCCAATTCTCTTCAACAGTGTTAAAAGATGCTCCAAAATTCTTCTCCCAGGAAAGTATTCCTCCAACTTTGATTCCTTGAAGTAATAATTGGGAGGAATTATGAAGAGTAAAACTTGGGCTCAATATTAACCTTCTATAAATGTAAATAAAATTTCTAACAAGTGATTTCTGCCTCACTTAATAGTCTTAGAGAAAGATGCACACTACGTGGGTAATCCTGCTTATACACAGTTATGTACACTGTTTACTAATATTCCTCTAAAATTTGTATAGGAATATAACTAGATCCACTGCATTGGCTGTGCATTGTACAACTCCAGTGGACACCATTCACATAGACCACAATGTGAATGATGCCTCCAGGAAATACAGATGGCCTGACCACAATCCCCTTGTTTCCTATAAGATACACGGCATAGCAACTTAGAAATCCCCCTTACCCCATAATATACCATTTTTGAAGTGTGACGGTTATTTATATAAAAATTTCCTATCAGTGCACCTTCTGAAATGAGGTTTATAAGAGTACCAATATATGGAGGCAGACATTTGAATGTTCTTATTCTCACTAAAGGATTTTCCCCAGCAACTACAGATCCATCTTTATGTTTGAGGTTTCATCACCAGATATTCAGATATTTATTACCAGATATTTAGTGCCTGTTAATCCTATACTTTTTTTTTTTTTTTTTTTTTGAGACGGAGTCTCGCTCTGTCGCCCAGGCTGGAGTGCAGTGGCTGGATCCCAGCTCACTGCAAGCTCCGCCTTCCGGGTTTATGCCATTCTCCTGCCTCAGCCTCCTGAGTAGCTGGAACTACAGGCGCCTGCCACCTCACCCGGCTAGTTTTTTGTATTTTTTAGTAGAGACGGGGTTTCACCGTGTTAGCCAGGATGGTCTCGATCTCCTGACCTCGTGATCCGCCCGTCTCGGCCTCCCAAAGTGCTGGGATTACAGGCTTGAGCCACTGTGCCCGGCCTAATCCTATACTTTTTAACATGGAGATTGTTCCCTACTCCTTTCTCTAAGTCTCATTGCCTACAAGAAAAAAAAAAAACAAAAACAAACAAAAAAAAAAACGTAGATTCCTTCAGAGAATAGGAAAAGTTTATACAAATTTCATAAATTTAAGTTACCCTATTCCTCCAAAAATCTGAAAAACATTTTTATTTTCAAATTTTTCATACCCTGAGTATTATACATATAGCTCTTACTTCTCCAAATGACCACTAAGTTATCCAAGGTATTTATGTGTTGTATTAGATAGCTATTACCACAGTAATGCTATATGAGAAACAACCTCAAAATCTCTACAATAACATTTACTTTTCTCACTCACGGGTCTGTGGAACAGCTGGGGCAGTTCTGCTTCAGGCTATGGGTCAGAGTCAGGTCTGCCCTCTGTGTCTCCTCATTCTGGGACTAGCAGCTTCCCTGGTCATGTCCTTTTCATGGCAGACATGGCAGGCACCTAAGAGGGCAAACCAAACAAGCAAGTGCATTGAAAGCTCCTGATTGGACTTGATTTCTACCTAAGATCATTGGCCAAAGCAAGTTGACAATAGTGGGGTGGAAGAGTACACTCCGCCTCTAATGGGAGCCACTGCAGTGTCATATACCAAAGGGCTTGTGAGCAATAAACCAGTGTGAACGATAATCCAATTCACACCATGTGTGGAAATCTCAAATCCATTCTCTGTCCTTTACAGGAGTTGAAATTGATTGGACTGGATATCCCACACTTTGCTGCAGATCTTCCACTGAATCGATGTAAAAACCGTTACACAAACATCCTACCATGTAAGATCATCAATTGTGCCAATCCTACTCATGTCTTTTAAGGGTTGAAGGACTGTCATTGCAGATTAATCAATTTCACCAATCTCTGACCACATCCAGCTGTGGTCTGGATCTCAAGGCCACATCTGAGATTGCATTGATCTCACTCTGCTTTGATGTCTTTAGATCTTATCATATGGAGGAAGATTTAATTATTGTGCTTTTAAATGAATTGTATCTGAACAAAAAGACTGACCATTTGACCCTTTAGAGATTAGAAAGCCATAGTCAAATTGGGGACTGGATCATTTGTACTCTCATAAAATATTTTCAGTCAATTCATTGATAATGGAAAGAGGCAAATTGAAAGGCAATGCAATATATTAAAGTTCCTTCTCTAACTTCTGACAAGTTATATAGTTGCTTAGCATTTTGTAATAAAAAGCAACATTCAAGAAAAAAGGTAATATAAAGTAGTTACAAAACAATTAAAATACATTCCAGTTATATTTCACTTTTCTCTCTGCTACACGCTGTGGGAGCTAGGCACGAATGGAAAAGTGAGAAAAGGAAGGCTGAAAACACTCTAGAAAGAGAAGTCTCTTCTTGATATGGTTTCTTGATGAAATTAGATATATTATCATAATAACACTTCACATCTGTCCACAGTTCAGAAATTACTTCTTTCATTTAATGTCCACCTACAAAAGAAACCCATGCATCTTCTCTTCTCTAGGCCTCCTTAAAGTACTGAACTCTCTGGACATCTCTAGGTGAAATACAAACTGTGTGCTTAGGCTACATACTATAGCTGTCCAATCAGTCTCACAGATATTTTAGTTCCTGAAATACTCTGCACAACCCCTAAACAATCCTGGAAACAATTCTTTCAAGGACAGGAGGGCTGGTAGTAAAAAAAAAAAAAAAAAAATAGCGGTTGGAAGATAGTCACTTATTTATTTAAACAACAAACTAAAGTTGAAGAATGGCTAAAATATCAGGCTAAATATTATTATCTACCTACTCTGTCACTGACTGATTAACGTAATATTGGATAGAGAGGGCCAAAATAATTTTTCCTTCCATCCTGAATTTTAATATTTTTTTCTCCTTATTCTCTATAGATGACTTCAGCCGTGTGAGATTAGTCTCCATGAACGAAGAGGAAGGTGCAGACTACATCAATGCCAACTATATTCCTGTAAGTAGAAAAAAAAATCAGGCACCCTAGTGCTAACCCAGCCAGAGAAAGACTAGCAGGGCCATACGGATGTGTCAAACAGTTCAAAAGAGAACCATTCCCAACCCAGCAACTGAATTCTAAAAAGTTTGCATTACCACATTTCATAATAAAGAATACAAAAAGAAGTCCATAGACTAGTAATGTTTCTATTTCTTTATAAAGGACCAATGAAAGGGAAAGTAGAAAGGCTAAAGATCACCTATCTTGTGTTTAAATTTGTTTCAGCAACCAAATTCAAAGGGTTCCACGCTAACACCTGCACTTTTAAAATATAAAGATCGTTATTATTGTCATAAAAAGGTGTGGATGTGATTTTTACAGCCTTCTGGAGAACAATGCTTACAATCACACAGACTAATTACGGTCAGTTATCTGATAGCCTCTTTGATTAAAAAAGGAGAAAACGTTACATAGGTGTGTGATCCTTTGCCAATTTTATCACCAGTAGATTTTCAGTTTTTTTCCCATAGGCGTTGAGCAGCATTTGGTGTTGGCAGTGGCTGGTTAGGTGACAATTTTGTCACTTATCTTTCAGGGATACAACTCGCCCCAGGAGTATATTGCCACCCAGGGACCACTGCCTGAAACCAGAAATGACTTCTGGAAGATGGTCCTGCAACAGAAGTCTCAGATTATTGTCATGCTCACTCAGTGTAATGAGAAAAGGAGGGTACGTACTTACTGAAGCAGTTCCCACTTAGCAGCAAAACCTGCCCCAGCGTCTGCCACTGATGAAATGCTTGCTGTTTTCAAAGTCAAATAAAACATAGAGACAAAGCGCTAAATTTAAAACATTGTATTCGGGAAGCAAGAATTACGATTTGGGGGCAAACACACAGACCTGGTGGTCTTTGCAATGTTCAAAGGAAAAAAGAGAAGGTTGGAAGTCTTCTAAAAAGGAGAAATACTGCATATTGTTTTGCAGGAAAGTTCATTAGCACTAGTAAAGTTTCGGGGAGCTGGCAAGCTCAGATTGGTGAATGGATGGTGGTGGGTAAAACTAGTCTCAGAGTCGCAGCAGGTTGTTTCAGTTGCTATTAGATAACACTGGTTTTAAGTTACTAACGGCAGTTTCGGCAATCAGGGTTTACAGAGAATTATATTCGTGGAACAATGTTACGCGTTTTGAGTGCTTTTTTTTTTTTTTTTTTTGAGACGGAGCCTCTCTCTGTCGCGCAGGCTGCAATGCAGTGGCGCGATCTCGGCTCACTGCAACCTCTGCCTCCCGGGTTCAAGCGATTCTCCTGCCTCAGCCTCCCAAGTAGCTGGGGTGTTCTGAGTGCTTTATCCCCTGACCCCTCAACTCTGTTTCAGTTAGGTATGATAAGAATGACCCAAGTCATGTGATAAGAATTCACACTATGTAGCAAAAACGATTGTATTTGCTTTACGTTTCATCTTCACCACGGTCCTATCTAATTCGTCACAGGCAAATACCTTTGTTTTCCCTAAGTGAGCACAGGCTTAATTGCTTTCCTAGCCTGTTTGTTTTAAACAATTGTTTTGTCCTCGCTCCAGGTGAAATGTGACCATTACTGGCCATTCACGGAAGAACCTATAGCCTACGGAGACATCACTGTGGAGATGATTTCAGAGGAAGAGCAGGACGACTGGGCCTGTAGACACTTCCGGATCAACTATGTAAGTCACCAAGCAGAGAGCAGGTGCTGTCCCTGTGCTGCCACCTACCCCACCACCGCTGGGCAAGTGCTGGGAGACCACCCCAGTGACTTCGAGCTTTGCAATGCTGCATCCTTCAAGAGGAAAAATCCACTTTCAGTGTCATTGTTCCCCATTTCATCAGTGATGGTAGGGATGATATGGTTGGTCTGGAGAGGCTGAGAAGATGCAGTAAAAAGTCTGCACTAGTTCATCTCAAATTAGTTCAGGATCATAGAAGACACTGTTAATCATTGCTTATCAGGCATCATTGAGGACAGAAGTGTTCTCATTACTTATATTAATCATATATGAGTATAATTAGGGTCCATAAGGCACACTTACATTTTAAATTAAATAATTAAACCATGAGTTAGTAGTTTGGGTTTTGTTTGTTTGTTTTTTCTCATTTTGTTCTGGTTTGGTTTTCATTGTTTGGAAGGTACTTCTAGGTCTTATTAATCATAATTCCCTATCGCTCTTGAAGGGCTATTGATTTCTGATTGATAACACACCCCCAAAAAAAAAAAATGTCCGTTTTTCTCACAAGGCCTGCCACCTTTCTGCTGACAAGTCTCTGAGCAAACGCTGAATATTTCTGTGACAGACTTAGGCGCTAACATCCATCGAAGTCATGCCATTGACCTCAGCCTATAGAATGTAGAGTTTTTACTATTAATAGTCCTCTCCACTTGAACATGCTCTCTATGAAGGCAAAATTGAATAGGAAAGTTCTCACTGAGATGTTCTTCCCTGCTTAGAAACAATCCTTTCTAATAGTTAAGGAACTAGCAAATTGTAGCCTGTGGAACAAATTTACCCACTGCCTGTTGGATAAAGCCCATGAGCTAAGAATGGTTTTTACATTTTTTTTAATGGTTAGCACGGTGGTTCATGCCTGTAATCCCAGCACTTTGAGAGGCTGAGGCGAGCAGGTCACTTGAGCACAGGATTCCAAGATCGCCTAAGCAACACAGGGAGACCTCATCTGACTAAAAATACAAAAATTAGCTGGCGTAGTGGTACACACCTGTAGTCCCAGCTACTCAAGAGTCTGAGGTGGGAGAATTGCTTGAGCTCAGTGGGGGGAGGTTGCAGTGAGCCAAGATTGTGCCACTACACTTCAGCCTGGGCAACAAGAGCAAGACTCTGTCTATACACACACATACACACACACACAAATCAACAAAAAAATATATTTTGTATGAAATACTATATGTAAATTATGTGAAATTTAGATTTCAATGTCCATATATAACATTTTATTAGAACACAGCCTGCATTGTTTACGAATTGTCTGTACTGCTTCTGTGCTACATCAAGCTTGAGTAATTGCAACCGAAACTATATGATCTGCAAAAACTAAAACATTTACTAACTGTCCCTTTGCGGAAAATGTTTGCTGACCCTTAAAATAGGCAATGGAAGCAAAGATTGCCCATATCAATACAACGTAAGAACTTGATACTGCCTACTTATTGATATGTACAAGAGATAAATCACTTCTTAATCATTGTTAACTGGCAGTTAACAATGTCTCTTATGACCAGGAGAATTGAGGCAAATTCCTGTATAACTCTAACAGACTGTGTTTTGTGTTGTGTCAGTCGTTTGAAATTCACATTGCTTCCTTGTTAAGCACGTTTTTACTCAAATGCAGCGTTTCAGCTTAAGTGTCACCTCCTTTGTGGAGTCTTCTCTGGGCTCGGACACTATTAGCCCTTTCCTCCACTGGGGCAGAGTCTCAAGTAAGCTGCTTTATCGCAGCACACTATAGATAGTTACAATTCTCGCTTTTTGTGTCTGCCTCGCCAGTATACTGTGAGTTTCAGAAGCAAGTGCTATATCCCTGTGGAATGAATAAATCAGTGAATGAAGGAGTTATTTCAAAAATAATAAGGCACTTGTAAAGCATCAATAGACTTTCCATCAGAGAAAATATTTGTCAATCCGAATGCCATTTGAACTGTTTTTTGTTCTTAGCTATTTCAATTGAAAAGCCAGTGCAAACTGATAACCAAATACAGTACGAATCTGTCCCTAGGTTTGCACATAGGAGAAAAAATTTCAGGGCACAAAATAGGGTCTGTTCCACTGCCTAGTCTGTTGACAAAGAAGAGTCACATAGATTATTGCATGGTCAGTACTATGCTTCTTGTCCTTGGTCTTAAATGATGACCTGTCTTTCAATGACAATCATGTGAAGGACTTGAAAAATAGGAATAAAACATTTAACAGCAGGGTTTGCTTGTAAGGAATTTACTTGTTACAAGCATCTGGTACCAGAGTGCCCCCTTTTGGCCATAAGCATGATGAATCTAAATGCTAAGCTCCTACAGTGAAGGCTAAGTTGCCCAAAGAACATTGTGCTGTGCTAATTAATATATTTTTCAATTTGTTTCATTTTTTTGTTTATACTCTTCTTTATCCATTCCATTTTGATATGTGGAAATTTTCCAATTACAAAAAGATAAAATTACATAAATAAGGAACTCAAGGTAAGAGAAATTTAGGAATAGCTAAGTAAGATAAAACCAGAAGAGTTTTCTCCTTTAACAAGAAAGGAGAAAAATGACCATAACACACAACTTGTCACTTTCTACTACTTGGAACTTGGCACGAACTGAGTGAGAGCTGGAGACTAAAGATCATGAAAAACATGTTTGTTGCCAGGGACTTTGTGCCTTGCTATTCAGGTTGCTATTCAGGCTGACCCCAGTTCCAGGACCCCTGCCTTGTAGCTGCAGAGAAACTAACTACAATTTAATGATTTCCTGATTTTAAATGATTTTAAATTATCTTGCACTTTTTTTTTTTTTTTTTTTTTTTTGAGACAGAGTCTCACTCTGTCGCCTGGGCTGGCATGCAGTGGTATGATCTTGGCTCACTGCAAGCTCCGCCTCCCAGGTTCACGCCATTCTCCTGCCTCAGCCTCCCGAGTAGCTGGGACTGCAGGCGCCCACCACCATGCCAGTTAATTTTTTTGTATTTTTAGTAGAGATGGGGTTTTACTGTGTTAGCCAGGATGGTCTCAATCTCCTGACCTTGTGATCTGCCCACCTCGGCCTCCCAAAGTGCTGGGATTACAGGCGTAAGCCACCGTACCCAGCCCACCTTGCACTTTTTAACTGAATACATTTTCACCTCAACCGTGCTGGAATATATATATTGGCTACAATGTACATGTGTTATACAAATTATGATCAGCATTTGAACAGGGCAAGCATTTTCCTGAACTTCCCTGGCAACCAAAGTTATCTGGTGACTGAGTATTCTTAAATCCTCATGACGTTGCATAAGTAAATTATTCTGCACAATTCATTATGCCCAAGATAGTTTCTCAACATACTTCCTGAAGAGAGCAGTGAGGGTAGCCAGTGTCTTTGTAGACTTCACGTTCTGTGTATCTAAGCCAAAATTCTTGAACATAGTAGGGGAGGCGCTGCACGCTACTGGGGATATATTAGGTGCCAAGGGTACAATGGGTGTGGGGGAGGTAATAACTTATGCATATTTAAATAAATCTTACATGCTTACTTACACATTTTATTTTTGAATTGTCTTTATACATTTATTTTCTGCCTAAGACCACTGACTCGTTGGAATTCATTTCTCTTTTAATACCTGAACTTAAACCTTAGTTCAAAACTGACAGTGAGGTCAAGCTTCCCTCCTTTGCAGTTAGGATATAGTATTCCATCCTCTGAGTGAATTCTAGGCTCTTCACAAGTTTGAGGAATGAGGGATGAATCAGACCTTCATGAAGCCTGGGTTTGGGATATTTCTGACAGTTGATAAGTGAAGAATATATCACTCTTACAAATTAGTTGGAACTAAAAAGAATTGATCTGGAAAGATCCACCTTCTAGTTAATATGTACTCAGTTCAGAGGGAACAACAATATATTTGATGTATGGGTTAATAGGAATAGGATACATATACAAGTTATACTCACTTACTAGGGATTCCCAGAACCAACCATACAATTGCATGGAGCTGGATGACAGTGAGTGATAGTAATGAGGTACTAGTAAATAACAATATCACAAACATGATTACACTTAATCCACACAACAACTCTTGTTATAAGTATCATTAGGCCACTTTTAGATATGAGAAAACTGAAGCTCAGTGAGTTGGTACCTCTACTATCAAAGCCCAAGATAAGGATTCTCATATACGTGATTTTGTGAAAGTGCATTCTTGGGGAAAGCGCATAAGGGAGCAAGGGAAGCAGATTGATAGAGAAGAAGCCCTACAGAGAATTCAGCTGAAGTCTCACCTGTGCTGGATCCCACAAACAATGCTGGGGCATGAACAGCACCATGGTATTGTCTCACTCTGAAAGAGGCTGGATTTTTGTACCCCACAATTAGTCAGGCATTAGCTCTGGGCTGCCCTCAGAAGGAGAACGCAACCTCTTAGGCATTTTCCGTCGAAGCCCCTCTGTGCAGTGGAAGGCAACTATCAAGAGATGGGTACTGCTGTGCTGTTCGCAACAACTGGGAAAAGTGTGCCTCAGGCTGGCAAAGGTATCTAAAGGGCACCAACAGCACTTTCTACAGTGTTTAATTCATTAGCCAAAGCTGATGCAGCTTCTAAATGACAGAGTCAGGATGCAAACCCTAATCTGCTTAAGCTTTTGTCCTTAATTACACAGGTACAGATTAGCCTACTTATCCTACTATTTGAAGCTTTATATAATTAGCGTGTTTTTTTTTTTCATTACCTATTTTATGCCAGATATGGTGCTCAAAACTAGAAAGGATGGAAAGTGTATTGACCAGGTGTGGAACATGGCTCGACCTTTTTGCGTGATTAACCTGTGATCGCTAGTGGAGTCCTGGGTCATCCTAACAGTGAACTGAAAAATTAATGCTTGTTTTTGGCTTTTTTTCTCTACAGGCTGACGAGATGCAGGATGTGATGCATTTTAACTACACGGCATGGCCTGATCATGGTGTGCCCACAGCAAATGCTGCAGAGAGTATCCTGCAGTTTGTACACATGGTCCGACAGCAAGCTACCAAGAGCAAAGGTCCCATGATTATACACTGCAGGTAACCTCATCAACTGCATAGTCTATTAAATATTAGGAGTTGATTCTGTAAGGGGAATAGCTCACCATTCCATAAGCCCTTATCAGATTTAGTTGAAAATTAAATGAATTCTGATTTTTTAAACTATGATTAATTGATGTCTTACTATATACAATATTTATTATGGCTTTCTTGTATCTATACCCTATAAGATAGATGTTATTATTCCCATTTTTAAATGGAAAAAAAAATAGAGAAGGGTAGAGATGTTAAGGGATTCACACAAGTTCATACAACCAGAACATGGAGGAGTTAGTATTCAAATCCAGGCATGCCAATCTGCAAAGATCATGCCCTTAATATGTGATATTATCCTGCCCCATCAAGGATTCTGAGTAGTTACAACATGGACAAATACAAGGTGAAATTATAGAAAGCTGATCACAGCTCGACATTATATAAATAGACATAAAAACTAGAAAAAGAAAAGAAAAAATGAAGATATTCAGCTTATGAAGATAAACATATTTGCTATAGTTCCTCTTCACCATTGTCTCTTAAATTTTCAGACAGTAGAATGAAAAAGGATATAGGATGTAAAAAAATCAGGGTCCACACTAATTCCCAACAGGAACAGTTATCATTAAACTTAATTCGTTCTTCCTACTATACGAACAGAGCTCCATCAAAAATCTATCTCTGTGATACAATACTGCTGTAAAATCCTTATGCAACCTCA